TTTTTTGGCAATTTGCTTTTCCAGCCTGCCAAAATATGCAAAATAGAGGGGATGCATATCGTGGCAAGCTGGAAATCCATATTGCCAAAAAATGCATCCCTGTGTTAAATTGAAGAATTAAAGAGTTAAGAGTGAAAAAACTTTTTCTACATAATCAGAGTAGTTCTAAGAACTACTGGTATAAGTTTTATATCAATAGGATAATATTTGGGGAAAATAGAGAGGGTTGCATATTTTGGCAGGCTGGAAATCCATATTGCCCAAAAATGCATCCCTGTGTTAAATTGAAGAATTAAAGAGTTAAGAGTGAAATAACTTTTTCTACATAACCAGAATAGTTCCATGAACTACTGGTATAAGTTTTATATCGACAGGATAATATTTGGGGAGGATGGAGAGGGGATGCATATTTTGGCAGGTTGGAAAAGCAAATTGCCAAAAAATGCATCCCTGTGCTAACTTGGAGAAATAAAGAGCTGAAAGGATTTCACCTTTTCTACGTAATGACACTTGTTTCTGAGCTATAATTTTTATATCAACAGGATGGATGCAAATATTTTCAGGCTCATTAATTAAAATGCATTAACAGACTAGAAAGTTAAGCATGATGTAAAATGTTCTACATAATGGGCCTCTGTTTTGTAATGCTTTTAAGCTGTTATGGTATCAAAAGACAAAGCTGAGAATTTCAAACCATTTGCGGAGAACGTTTTCAACAGACACGGACTGAAAAAAGTTCGACTCATATGTGTCAATAAAGGTGTAAAAACCGTATTTATTTCAAGTAATTTGCGAAATAAAACCACCATTTTAGGGATTACATGGTTAAGAAACGTGATAATGTTACAAATATCTTTAAAATTTCCTCTTCGGTCATATTTCAGTCCGGTTTCTCGTCAATATGCGAGATTTTAGAGCGATAAGTGCTCCAGCGAGAGGGGATGCAATTTTGGGCAGGCATGCGTTTCTGGGCGGTGAGCCACCTGAAAATGGTGAAGAAGGACTTCGCAGAGATGTGGCTCACCCCTAGCCACCATCAAAGACTCCATATGGACCTCCAGAAACTTGCTGGTAAGCAGGCGCAGGCAGATGCCCCCCGTGGCTGTGATCCGAATGGCGGCAGCAAGAAGGGAAACGATCAGAGCTGCAGGTGGCGCCAAGGAGACAGCCACAAAGAAGAATCGCCTGACCCTCCATGGATGAAGGAGCCGGCGCTCCACGGACGGAGGTCCCAGCAGTGACGGCCTGGCTCTCTGGGTGAGGCAGGCGGGAAGGAGCAGCAGGGCGGGAATCCCCTCTGAGCACCAAGCGCTGTTTGGAAGAACGGGACGGCTCAGAACTTCGTAAGGAGTCACTCTGGTCCTGCTCAACTTTTAACATACAGAGTTTGTTTTAACATCCTTGTTCTTATCTTCTTTTAGTTGGAGTTAATTTGACAAATTGTATTTATTACGATATTTATGTAAAAGAAATTTCTGTATAAATGTGTAATGTCATGTATGTAAAATGTCCCAAGTAACAAAATTTTTAGAA